CACTCGATCAGGCACAATCAACAACAATAAACAACGTCAATACAAACAACGAAACAAACAAACAAACAAACAAAGAAACAAACGAACAAACACACACACACACTCAAACTCAACACCAACCCTTACCGACATGCACTACACATTCACATCAATAATCCATCACTGCGACAATACACACAGTCAAATCACTCTGACTTACCCAGTGGTCCGAGAGTGGTTCGTCGAATCCTTCTCTGTCGGTGTTGAGCGATCACACTCCCATGTTTGTCCGTCACGTTCACCAACTCCTCTTCTCCAGGTGTCGTCGATTCGCCTACAACACACAACGAGAACACTCAGTTCACCAACATGTACGTGCACACCTCAACACCACCACACTGTCTCCATCACCGTCTCTCAATCTCCTACACACAAACACTCTCCAGACATATGCACAACTCACAACACACACCAATCTACATCACACACAACACCCCACATTCCTTCCTACATTCTTCACTATCACCCACTCACTCAATCAATCACGCATTCATTCAATCAATCACACACTCCATCATTCATTCTATTATCAATCAATCACTCACTTGAATCCATCATCCACTCACACACACGCTTACTCACTCACACACTCACTCACTCAATCAATCAATCAATCAATCAATCAATCAATCAATCAATCAATCAATCAATCAATCAATCACCCATTCACTCACACACTCACTCACTCATTCGCTCACTCATTCAATCACTCATTCACTCACTCGATTTCCCACTTCTTTTTAATTACATTGAGTGTCACTGTGTCAATCACATTGAAACACACATTATTCTACTAATCATCTCACACATATTCTTACTCATGTATCATTCACTCGATCAGGCACAATCAACAACAATAAACAACGTCAATACAAACAACGAAACAAACAAACAAAGAAACAAACGAACAAACACACACACTCACACTCACACTCAACACCAACCCTTACCGACATGCACTACACATTCACATCAATAATCCATCACTGCGACAATACACACAGTCAAATCACTCTGACTTACCCAGTGGTCCGAGAGTGGTTCGTCGAATCCTTCTCTGTCGGTGTTGAGCGATCACACTCCCATGTTTGTCCGTCACGTTCACCAACTCCTCTTCTCCAGGTGTCGTCGATTCGCCTACAACACACAACGAGAACACTCAGTTCACCAACATGTACGTGCACACCTCAACACCACCACACTCTCTCCATCACCGTCTCTCAATCTCCTACACACAAACACTCTCCAGACATATGCACAACTCACAACACACACCAATCTACATCACACACAACACCCCACATTCCTTCCTACATTCTTCACTATCACCCACTCACTCAATCAATCACGCATTCATTCAATCAATCACACACTCCATCATTCATTCTATTATCAATCAATCACTCACTTGAATCCATCATCCACTCACACACACGCTTACTCACTCACTCAATCAATCAATCAATCAATCAATCAATCAATCAATCAATCAATCACCCATTCACTCACACACTCACTCATTCGCTCACTCATTCAATCACTCATTCACTCACTCGATTTCCCACTTCTTTTTAATTACATTGAGTGTCACTGTGTCAATCACATTGAAACACACATTATTCTACTAATCATCTCACACATATTCTTACTCATGTATCATTCACTCGATCAGGCACAATCAAACAACAATCAACAACGTGAACACAAACAACGAAACAAACAAACAAACAAACAAACAAACAAAGAAACAAACGAACAAACACACACACACACACTCACACTCACACTCAACACCAACCCTTACCGACATGCACTACACATTCACATCAATAATCCATCACTGCGACAATACACACAGTCAAATCACTCTGACTTACGCTCTGATCCTTATGTTACTGATTTTATTTTTGGTTTGATTTTTTTGCCCATTATTCTTCCTTGCTTGTCTGTCAGATTCACGAACTTCGCTTTTGCGTCTTTTGTTTTTTCGCCTATATTATACAATCTGAGTTTTCATTGATTTGCAATACATACGCCTATTTTTATAACTTCTCTTCTTCTCTTATTTTCAGTATCTTTGTCTACTTATATTTTCTTTTTTTCATTTTTTACATTTGTTACCTATCTCTCTTGAATTCCTTGTCACATCTTCTCTCTCCATTTATGTCTTTTCTATCCATTCGCCTCTCTGTATGTCTTTTTTCATTCCTCTATACATCTCTTTTTTTATCTTCTCTTTCAGCATTTATCAGTGATTTGACAGGGATCATTCGATGCTTCCGTCTTGCGTTTGCAAGCTAGTGTCCTCCATTCACTGACCCAATTAATCTTTATGTTATCTTCTGTCCATTTCCTGTTCTTCTCCCTACGCCTTCTCTTCTTAAAATTGTTTTATTGTTGCCTTTCAACGCTATTCTATTCACTTTTTTTAAGTATTTTAATGTTATCAGAAGGGGTTTTGTGGATGTTGTAGTAATTTCAACAGTTGAAATCATGAGTCAATTGAATCTAGACCACCATGGAAAACATGTATGCACTGGATAGCCGTTTCGTCCTATTGTGGGACTCCTTATCAGTGCGCATTCACGATCCCGCCTGCCACGAAATTCGAACCTAGAATCTATCCGTCTCGCTCGTGAGCGCCAAATGTTATTTAGTTTTTGTCTAAATGAGTTTTTTATGTTTTTGTTGTTGTTTTATTCTTTTTTTAATGCTCATTGTCTTTTCTTCTTGATCTTGCTTTTATGCATTAATTATTTGTGTGTGTGTGTGTTTTCTTAAAAAAAACATGCTTACTTACCTGTTTTTTCAGTGTATTTCTTTCCATCTAAATTGTCCCATGGTGTTGTCTTTATTATTTGTTCCGTTTGTGTGTTTTCTCTTTGTTTATCCGTCGTTTGTATTCTACTTATTTTCTCTGTTTCAGTCTTTCCAATCAGTACTATGATTAAAAAGAACAACAACAAAGTTAAAAAGTTATTATATGACATTTTTCTGGTGTGTTTTTTTTATTATAGTTTCCGATATTCTATTTTTGTTGTTGTTGTCGTTGTTGTTTGTTTGTTTTCCAATTTTCCGATTTACTTATTTTTAAACGCTTTTTTTCGAGTTTCTTCTTAAACCATTAAAACGTTGTCTAGTTTTATGTGTTCAGGTTCCGCTAGATCTTATACGCCCATTTCGCCTACACACAAATTTAATGTACGATTTTTTATCTCTGCCAATATGCGAATCTCTCACTACATAATGACTGTAAGTCGATCTTTCAAAATTTGTGATAGTGGTCTTTAACGCTTCAACCGATGGAAACGCAACCAGAAACAAGGTAGTCAAAAAGACTTCCTCCATTTCCGTTACGTTACGTTACCAGCACTTGTACTCGGCACGTTACTCTGCTCCATAATGACGATTGAAATTGTGCTTCGTCGACAAGTACGGATAATTTATAACAATTTTCAAGACATAACTAACCAATGAAATCTAATTTTTGAAACTAGCCATTTCATTGGACGAAACACGGGATGAAAAATATTGTAATTTGGGGGTGGAAAATTTTTTTTTTTAAATGGCCGGTCGGACAATATTATTCCAGGTTATGTTTATTGT